GCACTCTACCCAGGGGGATAGCTTGAGGCTCTGTCTCAAAAAAAAAAAAAAAAAAAGAACTGACTTCTTTATAGGATTTCCAGCACAGCCTCTCCCATGTAGCATGAGCGGTGTTGAGAGGAAGGAGGAAGGGAGGGAGGAAGGCTTGTTAATGTCACCGGCTCACCAAGGGGACTGCTCTGAAGGATGCCACCCACAGCTAAGGCAGCAATTTCTAACACCTGTCCAAATACCTGTCCAAACCACCTGGCCACATTGCACTGACAGACCCTGAGGGGTCTCGGGCAGCTGCTCCCCATCCCCAGTGATCATTTCACCCAGCTTGGGCCTGGCTGCTCCTGCCCACTGGCTGTCCCCCACCCCCCGCAATCTCACTACCCAACTGTTGATCAAATATCGGGGATGATTCTGATGTCAGACTAAGGAAAGTGCATTCAGAGGTAAATCAGCTGTGGGGGGCAGGGTGGGGGGTAGAGATCCCAGACAAGAAACCCTGAGCTTTGAAGAGTTGAACTTCCAGAGCACGTGTGGGCCATGTGTGGGTGGGGCTGGTCAGGCCATGGCCAGAGTCATCAGATCCAGCTGCCCTGACAGCCGGGCCTGCCCACTTTGCTTTCACAGTCAGAAAAACAGGCACCCAGGATCCATGGAGGGTTTTTTTCTCCCAGTAGCAGTAAGCTCAGGGTTTGTACCAGGGGTGCCAAAAATACATTTGCACATATATTTATTTATTTATTTATTTATTTTAAATAGTCTCACTCTGCTTTCCAGGCCAGAGTGCTGTGGCCTCAACCTAGCTCACAGTAACCTCAGACTCCTGGGTTCAAGTGATCTTCCTGCCTCAGCCTCCCAAGTATCTGGGCCTACAGGTGCCCACTACCACACCCAGATGATTTTTCTATTTTTAGTAGAGATGGCCTGAGCTTGCTGAGGCTGGTCTCAAACGCCTGAGCTTGAGGTATCCTCCTGCCTTGGCCTCCCAGAATGCTGGGATTATAGGCAGAAGGTACCACTCCTGGCCCCCAAAATATATATACACATTTTAAGTGATGTTATCTATGCATTACTTTCCAAAGTTGAATTAGTATAGCAAGATGTCATATGAGGTTTGTTCAAAAAATGGGGTTAATCAAATGAATGCTGGTGTCACCATGCAGCCAACGTGGATAGGACAGCCTCTTCTCTTGTGTAACATGTGTAAAATTTTTTTTTGACACCTGCATTTTAAAATATAAATAAGACTTGCTGGCAGCAGTGTCCGGTGTCCTGCTGAGGGCAGCTCACTGTCTAGCAGTCACTCGCTAAGCCAGTGGGAACACCACTGGGCTGCGTCCCCAGGCAGAGGGGCCTGGAGGCCCCATCTCAGAGCACAGGCTCAGGGTGCAGCCTTGGCTCACTCTCCTTTTAGATGCTTCTCGGGGGTCCCCTCCCGTCCATACCTGGAGGCTTAAAGCCACAGGTTTTGACAGCGTTTACAGCTCAGCGTCCCAAGCACACATTTTAAGTGGCTCATTTTTACTGCTTTATAAAAACCATGACATTTCTGCCCTGGGATGATGATGGGACAGAGAGTAGATTTTTTTTCTTGACGACAAAGCAGTAATCCACTGAACTAGAGGCACACGTGGCCCCGTCCCCAGGTGGAAGTGTGGCTGAATCGAGTGCTGGACCGAATGGTGGCCACCCTCCGGCACGAAATTCCAGAGGCCGTGGTGACATACGAGGAGAAGCCGAGGGAGCAGTGGATCTTTGACTACCCAGCCCAGGTTCGGGGGGGGGGGG